CTGTGGGCATTCTTTGAATTTAGTTGGAAAAACTGCAGCTAATTCTTGTCCTTCTGCTATAAAATTCTTTGATTTCGTTCAAAATATATACGTATTTTTTACGGCATCTCCAGCCAGATATCAAATTTTAACTAAGAAGTTATCATTGAAAGATTCAAATACACAATTTCATGTTCCTAAAAATTTAAATGATACTCGTTGGTCATGTAGAGCAGATGCCACCAAAGCATTAGTATTAGGTTATAATGTATTTAAAGAGACTTTGGACTATATTTCAAAAGATCCAGAGCAAAAAGAAGTTGTTAAAAATGAAGCGAATGGACTTCTGAAAAAAATCACTAGTTTTGAAATTGCGTTTTATTTGTTATTTTGGAATGACATTTTAGACCGCTTCAACGCCACAAATCACTTGTTACAAAATCCTAAGATGGTTCTTCAATCTGCGGTAACAGCCCTTACTTCTTTGAAACTATTTGTTCAAGATAAACGAAATTCATTTGATGAATATAAAGAAGCGGCCAAAAAAATGTCAGGAAAAACCGACTACCCAGAAATTCGAATTCGCTCACAAAATGTAAGACTCACTCCATTGGAAAGTAGAAATCAGGAAACTACTCAATTATCCCAAACAGAAAAATTTCGATCTGATAACTTTCTCCCTGTTATCGATCAGTTGTATACATCTCTGACTGATAGAATAAAAGCCTATGATATAATATGTAAACGATTTGGATTTTTCAGCAAATTAGGAATTATAGAAACTTCAGAATTATTATTATCTGCCACAAATCTGGTCAATATATATTCTGAAGATTTGGAATCAACTTTAGGGAACGAATTACTGCAGTTTAATGGTTTGGTTAATTTACGTCAAAAAGATTGTAGAAAAGAAGAATCGTGGGAATTATTTTTGTTCAGGATACTATACGAAGACAATTTAAAAGTTACCTTTCCAAATGTAGACATTGCTCTGCGTATGTACTTGGTGTTAATGGTGGCAAACAGTAGTGGAGAACGCTCGTTTTCAAAAATGAAACTAATAAAAAATAGATTAAGAACTACAATGACACAAGATCGTCTATCCAACTTAACCATTTTAAGTATCGAAAGTGATGTACTTAGGTCCTTGGACTTWGAAGATACCATCAAACAATTTTCTATTAAAAAGTCAAGAAAAGTATGTTTATTATAAATAACTTGTACATTATATTTCTTTAGTATTTTATTTTTATATTTGTATATTATAAAATAACGTTGTACC